TAACTCAATAGTTCAACAAAGTGAGCAGCTCAGAACTACAAAAGACAAAGCCTCGGAGAAAATTCTCAAGAGCCCAATACCCACAACACTCGGGAGGCAGAGGCAGAGGCAGATGGATTTCCATGAGTTTGAGGCCAGCCTGGTCTACAGAGCAAGTTTCAGGACAGGCTCCAAAGCTACAGAGAGGAACCCTGTCCCCCAAAAAACAATCAATCAGTCAATAAATAAAAGAGCCCAATGCCAAGTACAGCCCATTTTTTGCTTCACCAAATAGAGGTAGAGCAACAGCAGCAGGTGGAAGCTGAAGTGGGAAAATGAAGGTCCCTAGCTGCCTATGCTGGCACATGCCTTTAGGGGGCAGAGGCAGGCAGATCAATGAGTTTGAAGTGTTCCTGGTCTTTATAGTGAGTGTCAGGACAGCCAGAGCTTTGTAGAGAGGTTCTGTCTTGAAAGAAAGTCCCTGGAATAACGTGACCCTAGCAGCTGCTTGGTACTATTTAGCCCTCCTCTTCATTGGGAGTGACGGACTGATTGTTTTCTCCTGGCCATGGCTTGTCAGAATTGTTACCATACATGTTAGGGTCAGAGTTGTGGCCCTGTCATCTCTGACAAGCTAGGCGTGGCCACCTATACTCAAATATGTCAGTTAAATCCACTGTTGGTAATGAAAAACAGAAAAGAATTTATTCAGTGTGACCACACTGGACAGATACTGAGTGACACCCACCTATCTGTTTTGGGGTTCTAATATAAAAAATATACATGAGGGGGCTGGAGAGGTGGCTCAGAGGTTAAGAGCACTGACTGCTTTTCCAGAGGTCCTGGGTTCAATTCCTAGCAACTACATGGTGTCTCACAATCATCTGTGATGAGATATATACCTGTGATGCAGGTGTACATGCAGGCAGATACTGTATACATAATAAAAAATAGATGAATTTCAGGTCGATAGAAGGTGTAATGCATAACTGATTGTTACTGATCAAGGTGTAGCCCGACTGCTGTCATTGGTTCCTGTTTCCTGCAAGGTGATCTGACAAGTTGTCAGAACTGTGAGATCTTTCTGAGGTGACAACTTTCTCAGCCTGGCACCTGGGCTCAGCCTTTCCTTCTCCCAAAATGAGCTTCCTGGGAAAGTTCAATGAAGTCCATTGTCCCAGTAGTCTGATAGCAGAGGAGGGACACTCATCCTTTAGGCTGTCTTCATTCCTGTGAGGATAGTTACACAGGAGTTACAGGCATGAGCCAGCAGGTCTGGCCACACCTACCTTTTTACTAGCTTTTCCAGCTGATGGTAGGTATTCTTTGATGCTGCACCAAAGCTTAACAGGTGGTAAATTTTTTTCTTTTTTTTTTTTTTTTGTGGTCCATACAGCATCATACATGCTAGACCAGCACTCTGCCATTGTATTACATAGCTCACAAGATATGTGGTAATTTCTTAAAAGTTACTTGCAAGGTTGATAATTTAGCTCAGTAATACCCTGCCTGGGTTTCGTCCTCTGCACCAGAAAATAAAAAATAATTGTAAGGGCTGAAGAGATGACTTAGCAGTTAAGAGTATTGGGTGGTCTTCTCAAGGACCTAGGTTCAATTCCCAGCACCCACATGGCAGCTCACAACTTCCTGTAACTTCACTTCCAGGGGATCTGATGCCCTTTTCTGACCTTCAGAGGGCATTGCATGGAGGTGGTGCACAGACATACATGTAGGCAAAAATAATCATACACAGAAATAATTTTAAAAATAATAAAATGAGTTGAAAAGAAAAATCTGAAACCATATCAAAAAAATTTTGTGCTGTGTACCTTAAAAACAATTATCTGTCTTATATTTTTATTTTTAGATGTACTGGGACTTGAACCTAGAACCTTGTATGTAGTAAAGAAGTGTTGTACTACTAAGCTGTTTTGTTTTTTACTATTTAATTTGAGGCAGGTCTCACTAAATTACCCAAGCTATGCTTGAATTCATATTATGGCCCAGACAGGCCTTGCACTTTTGCACCACTGTGCTCAGATCAAGCCCAGGATTTGGCATGCTAAGCAGCCCTCTATGAAATGAAGTCTATCCCCAGCCTTTGACTTGAGATTTTGAGATAGGAATCTTAAACTTAAAATCTTCCTGTTTTAGCCTCCAAGAAACCAGGATTACTGTGATTACAGGCCTTTGCCACAAGGTCCTACTTTGAATTTTTTAATTTTTTGAGAGGGTGGTTCATGAGTACTCCATGGTGTGTGTGTGGAGGTCAGAGGACAACTTTCTGGAGTTTCTTCTCTCCTTTTATCATGTGGATCCTAGGGTCAAACTCAGGCTGTCAGGCTGGAGAGGTGACTTGTAGGTGACTAAGTTCAATCCCTAGAGCCATATGGTGGAAGGAGAGAGCCAGCTCAGCTAGCTGTGCTCTCTGTGTGTGTGTGTGTGTGTGTGTGCGTGTGTGTGCGTGCATGTGTGTGTGTGTGCGTGCATGTGTGTGTGTGTGTGCATGTGTGTGTGTGCGTGTGTGTGTGTGTGTGCGTGCGTGTGTGTGTGTGTGTGCATGTGTGTGTGTGTGTGTGCATGTGTGTGTGAGAGGGAGAAACAGAGACAGAGAGAGAGAAAGGGATGGGGAGAGAGGAAGAGAGAGAATGAAAAAATAATTTGAGACTGACCCTCCCTCATATAGCCCGGGCCTGTCTAGAGCTCACTGTGTAGTTGAGCTTCGTGCTTCTCGTCTGTCTGCCTCCACTCCTGAGTAGTGGTGTTACAGGTGTGTACCTTCTTTCAGGGCAAGGACTTTCTTAAATAGGACCTGCTTTTCCCCCTAAAAAGCACGTGGCAGTGAATACAGTAAGTTTATTTCACAGTTTGGTTTGGGCAAAGGCAACAGCAATGATACCCTCCATGGTATTTTCACTATTATTGCAAATGCTAAGATGCTTTAAAAAAAAAAAAAGTCAAATGATGCCTTAGTAGTATGGCAAAAATAGTTTGCACCACATGGATTCTTGAAAGGTTACTAGTATGGCTCAGGAGCCATAAATCACACTTTTGAACTGCTGTCCTAAGCAAATCACTGGTCAATGGGAGTTTATTCTTGCCATGCCGGCCGTGGTATCACTTGCCCATAATCTCAGTACCTGGGAAGTGAAGACAGGACCAGGAGTTGAAGGTCATCCTCAGCTACATAGTAAATTAAAAGTCAGCTTGGGCTACAGAGTTTCTGTCAAAAACAAAAAACAAACCCAGTTTGCTTTCTGTAAAGATTGATCGGCATTGCATCATTTTGCCATACCTAGAGAACAAAAAGATTAACAGTTGCAGTTCATTTTAGTAAAGATGCTCCTTGCTGGGTGGTGGTGGCACACCCCTTTAATCCCAGCACTGGGGAGGCAGAGGCCAGCTTGGTCTACAGGACTAGTTCCAGGACAGTCAGCAGTCAGGGCTACACAGAGAAACCCTGTCTCGAAAAACTTAAAAAAAAAAAGAGAGAGAAAAAGAAAAGAAAAGAAAGAAAAAGAAAAGAAGAGAAAGAAAGAAAAGAAAAGATGCTTTTTAGTAGAGAAAATGAGAGCTCCCAAGAGTGGGAGGGGTTCTCCGAGAGGACTGCTTCCACATGCCATGCCCAGTGTTTTATTGCTGCTCGTATATGATGTGGGGTGCGCTCCACTGCGTGCACAGATGACAGCTTACAATCAGAGTCAGTTCTCGCCTTCTGCCCAGAGTTCTGGGGGATGGGACTCGGGTTAGCTGGCTTTTGTGAAAAGCACTTTGGCCTACTGATCCATCTCACAAGCCCTGCCTAGGAGCCTTTTATGTCTTACAGAGGAATTGGATTGAGACTGAGGGAGTCATTATTGAAATTGGTCAGTTTTTGAGTTCATCAAAGGCTAAGCCAATGAGGAGTCTACACACCCTGTCCTGGTTCTCTTGGCCCAGAGAAATGATCATGCCTTACTCATCCAATCTAGTCATGTGCTACAGGATTAGCTCATGGTCTACTAAGGCCCCGCCTTAAGGGTGATTAACTCAAAATTTCTGTCAAGCAGTATTAAAAGATAGTTATCCTTGTGCCTTGCCTAGAAATTAGAATGCTGTTGACAGAGAGTTCTGTCTCGCCCAGTCCCACAATTGTTCAGACCTAAAGAAACACACAGAGGCCTATATTAATTATAAACTGTTGGCCTATTAGCTCAGGCTTCTTGTGAACTAATTCTTATATTTTAATTAGCCCATTATTCTTGCCTATGTTAGCCAAGGCTTAGTACATTTATCAGTGAGACATTCTCATCTTGCTTCCTCTGTGTCTAGATAACAACTGCACACTGAGTCTTTCCTCTTCCCAGAATTCTCCTGTTCTCATCACCCCACCTCTACTTCCTGCCTTTTCACCCAGACTTTAAAATAAGTCAAAAGATATGTAGAGGAAACAAGACAGGCCTCTGTGTGTTTGTTTGGGACTGAATGGCTGCGGGACCTGGCGGGACAGAAACCTCTGTCAACAGAATGCATGTTTTTGAACTATGTTCTTTTAAATTATATTCCACCACTGAGTCTGGTGATGAACCCTGTAATCCCATCTACTTGGGAAGTTGAGACAGGAAGATCACAAATTCAAGGCCTACCTGAGCTAGATCCTCTCTCAGAATAAAAAAAAAAAGGGAAACAGCAGGCATGGTGATTCCAGGCTGTAGTCCTAGCACTTAGGAGGTGGAGTCGGAAAGATCAGAAGTTCTGGGGCCATCATTAGCTACCTAGCAAATTTGAGGTCAGCATAGGCTACGTGAGCTCCTGGCCCCCAAACAAAAACATCTTGTGCACACGTTTCACTATGGTGGTATGTGTCTATAGCTTAGCATTTGAGAGATGGAGGAAGGGAGATTTTGAGTTCCATGCTTTCATGGGCTACATAGTGAGTTACAACCAACCTGGACTGCTTGGCAAAACCATGTCTTAGAGAAAACCAACAAAATGCAAGAAAACATTTTACAGACCGCTGCTTCCCCGTGTTCGAATTGCAGCTCCCTGGATACTTTTGTTCCTATGCATAAAGATGTCTCTGGTGGATTTGGGAAAGAGGCTGCTGGAAGCTGCAAGAAAAGGCCAAGATGATGAAGTGAGAACGCTGATGGCAAACGGGGCCCCATTCACCACAGATTGGGTGAGTTGAGCTGAAGGCCTCAGCACCTGTCCTAAGGCTGAAGAGGTGTGGTGCCTCACTCCCTTCCTGCTCTGTCATCTCTCCTGCCTCCTGCAGGAGTGTTATTTGTGTCGCCTGACTGCAGTTCTCCAGTGTGAAAGCTGCCTGTCAATAGATAGTAATTGTGAGCTGTTAAATTGTGGGAATTTGGATTGGAGAGATGGCTCAGAGGTTAAGAGCACTGACTGAACCTCTGGAAGAGGTCCTGAATTCAATTTCCGGTAACCACATGGTGGCTCACAACCATCTGTAATGAGATCTGGTGCCCTCTTCTGGCCTGCAGGCATACATGCAAATAGAACCCTGAATACATAATAAATAAATCAATCTTTAAAAAAAAAGTACTGGGAATTTCCCTCTTTTATTTTATTTTTATATTTTTATTTGCAGTTGTGATGGTGTATTTCTTTAGTCCTAGAACTTGGGAGGGAGAGGTAGAAAGACCTCTGAGTTTGAGACCGTCCTGGTCTACATCACAAGCTCCAAGATAGCCAAAGCTACATAATGAAATCCTCTCTCAAAAAACAAATATAAAGGGACTGGAGAGATGGCTCAGCGGTTAAGAGCATTGCCTGCTCTTCCAAAGGTCCTGAGTTCAATTCCCAGCAACCACATGGTGGCTCACAACCATCTGTAATGAGGCCTGGTGCCCTCTTTAGGCATGCATGTAGACAGAATATTGTATATATAATAAATAAATAAATATTTTTAAAAAAACAAAAACAAATATAAAGCTCCCAAAGTTGTCTTGACCTTCACACACATACAACTGTGTGTGCACACATGTACACATACATGCAAATAAATATTACAAATACCAGGCATGGCTGTATACATCCCTTTGTTTTTGTGGCAATATTGACTGTCCTCAAACTCGCTTCACAGTAGACCAGGCTGGCCTCAAACTCACAGAGATCCGATTGCCTCTGCCTCCTGAGTGCTTGGATTAAAGGCGTGCCCGCTAGTAGTATACATCTTTAACTCCAGCACTTGGGAGGCAGAAGCAGAAGATTAACCATGAATTGAAGGTCAGCCTGGTCTACATAGTAAGACTTTGTCTCAGGGGAGAAAAAAAGGCCAGGTGGTAGTGGTGGTGCACACCTTTAATCCCAGCACTCAGTATATAGAGACAGGTGGATTTCTGAGTTTGAGGCCTACCTGGTCTACAGAGTGAGTTCCAGGACAGCTTGGGCTACATACAAAACCTTGTCTCAAAAAAAAGAAAAGAAAGAATAGTTTAATATAATGAGCTTGTTAACCAACTCAACTTGGAGACCAAAGAGTTTCAGAAGGTTCAGGTCCATGTAGTAATGTGGGGCATCTAAACATTCACAGATTCTTTTGGTTTTGCTTTTTAAGATTTATTTACAGATGACTGTGAGCCACCATGTGGTTGCTGGGAATTGAACTGAGGACCTCTGGAAGAACAGCCAGTGCTCTTAATTGCTAAGCCATCTCTTCAGCCCACATTCACAGATTTTCTTTCTTTCCTTTTTTTTTTTCCCTTTGGGTTTTTTTTGTTTTTCGAGACTGGGTTTTTCTGTGTAACAGTCTAGGCTGTCCTGGAACTTGCTTTGTAGACCAGGCTGGCCTCAAACTCACAGAGATCTGCCTGCCTCTGCCTCCCAAGTGCTGGGATTAAATATGTGTGCCACCACTGCCTGGCGGTTCATGAATTTTCTAAGCACTGACTGATGTTAACAATTTTTATGATGGAGTAATGATTATTGTAGTATGATTAATTCATAACTTCAGGGTCCAACTGGTTTGTTTGTTTGTTTGTTTGTTTGTTTGTTTGTTTTGAGACAGTCTCTCTCAATGAAGCCCTGGCTTCTTGGGCCTCTATCTCATAGAGATCCACCCGCCTCTGCCTCCCTAATGCTGGGACTAAAGGTGTAATCACCACCCAGATTAGAATACCATATTCTTCTTGACACAAAAAAACTGTCTTGTAAGCCATGCTTAAAATCTACCTAACTCAAAATCATTATACTTTAATTTTATGATTTCTATTGTTTTTAATTATATATGTGTGTATATGTGTGGGGTGGGCATGTGAGTGCAGTTGTCCTTGGAAACCAGGGTGTAGGGTCACCCACAGCTGGAATAACAGCTGGGAATCACCTCACATGGGTGCTTTTCACCACCGAGTTATCTTTCTAGCCCAAGTATATTAATTTTTAAATTATATTATTTATTCAGTCTTATCTGCCCTGTAAATTTTTTTTCTTCAAGGATGAATACTACAGGATTCATTTCTTGTTCATATATCTCTACCTCAAAATGATACAGTTCTACACACAGTAGAATTCAATGAATATTATTTTCCCACAGCTTGGAACATCACCTCTTCACCTCGCAGCCCAGTATGGTCATTATTCCACAGCAGAAGTGCTCCTTCGAGCAGGCGTCAGCAGGGATGCCCGGACCAAGGTGGACAGGACCCCTTTGCATATGGCTGCAGCTGATGGGCATGCACACATCGTGGACCTGCTTGTTAGGGTAAAGCAAGAATGATGGTGGGATGATGCTTTGAAACACTTACCTCCCATACTTTCTTAAATAGTGGGAGGGAAGTGGACTGGAAAGACTTGACAATAGTTGGTCATAGAGTTGCATCTCTTATTTATTTATCTATATATCTATCTATTTATTTATTTAAATTGATTTTTTTTCATGAAAACCATGTTTCAAGAGTCATGAGGATGAGTTTGTTTTCTAATTTTTTTAAAGACTTAACAGGTTTTATTGATTTTCTTCATTCTTTTCTGTAGGTGTTCTCTGTACTTGTGCCTATTTTTTTTTCAGGCCCTACTCAGCTTTCTGCTAATAAATGCAACAAAGTCTGTTCCTTCCCCTTCCTCAACCATCTGTTAGAATTTCCCAGAGTGTCCTTAGCAGACCCACTCAATGAAAGCATAATGTCTCAGCGCTCGGGCGGACTTGAGAAATGCTTTTCTCGTTGATCCTCCTTAAGTAAGAGCTAAAACTAAGTATCTCTGTTGTGATGGGGTCTTACACTTGAGCTCCCGTAACCACTGTCATGGAAAGGTCGCCTTTTTCTAACAGAGCGGTGCAGATGTGAATGCCAAGGACATGCTGAAGATGACAGCTTTACACTGGGCCACAGAGCACCACCATCGAGATGTTGTTGAGTTACTTATCAAATATGGAGCTGATGTCCATGCTTTTAGCAAATTTGACAAGTCTGCCTTTGACATAGCACTGGAGAAAAACAATACCGAGATTCTGGTCATCCTTCAGGTATGGTTCCTTGATCTTCCCCAAAGTACGCTTCAACTTATAGACTATTTTGAGAGAGCTGAATTAAAATAGAATTTTCCCCATTTTATCAAAATAGCACTTCTATCATGCTTCAGTTATATGACTCTGCGATAGCATCTCTCTCTCTCTCTCTTTCTCTCTCTTTCACACACACACTCTCTCACATACACCCAGTGGAGACAGGGTCTCGAGTAGCCCAGGGTGATCTCAGATTTTGAATGTAGCTAAAGATGACTCTTGATCCTCCCGTTTCTGCCTCACATATGCTAGAATTACAGGCTGTATACTGTGCTTGGCCTTTGTTTTGAGATAGTCTCACTGTGAAGTCAGAGCTAGCCTCTCCAACCAGGCCTTCACCTAGGTTTTGTTTTTTTTTTTTTAAATAGGATTATAGAAAGTCCTGAATTGTTCATGGTAATTAGAGAGCAATATTTCAGGACTAGTCAGTGCTGACATTGCAGAGCAAAACTCTACAGATCTTTTCTGGTTCTGAGAGTTGCCCAATTTTTGGAAATGTAGCCAGAACAAAAAGAACATTTATCTGACTGTCCATTGCTTTTCTCTCCATTAAAGTTTCCATTTCTAGTTAAACTAGACTTGGGACAATCTTAAAAGTCAAAGGCTGGGCACAGTGGCACACTCCTTTGATGCTAGCATTTAGTAGGGAGAGACAGGTAAATCTCTTGAGTTTGAGTTCGAGGCCACCTTGGTCTTCAAAGCGAGTTCCAGTCCAGCCAGGATTACATAGTGAGACCCTGTCTCAAGACAAGAAAAGAAAGAAAAAAGGTTTGTTGCTGCTGGAGATATGGCTCTGCAATCAAAAATATTTACCAATAGCCGATAGTGGTGCATACCTTTAGTCCCAGCACCTGGCAGGCAGAGGCAGGTGGAGCTCTGTGAGTTTGAGGCCAGCATGGTCTACAAAGGGAGTTCTGGGACCATTGGAGCTGTCTGGAGCTGTTACACAGCAAAAGCCTGTTTCAAAAAAACCAAAAATAAATAACACAATGCTTACCAGTCTTACAAAGGACCTAGATTCAGTTCCTAGCACCCACATAGGGTAAATTACGACTGCCTAAATTTCAGTTCCAAGGGATCCTATTTCCTCTTCTGCCCTCCACTGGCACCTGTGCACACATGGTACACATAAACTCATATAGGCACACACACACACATACGTACGTACACACATTAAAAAGAAAATCATTTTAAATAAGAAAGAAAGCCGCACTCCGGGGCTGGTAGATAGCTTAGTCGGAAGGTGTGTCTTGTAAAGATGAGGAACTGAGTTTGCTCTCCAGAACCCAGGCACAAAAACCAGGAATGAGCCAGTGAGGCGACTCAGTGGGTAAAGGCTCTTGCTGCCAATTCTAACAGTCTGAGTTCAATCCCCAGTGCCCCGCTTTAAGAAGAAAATCTACTCCTGCAAATGTCCCCTGACCTCCTGTCATGAGACAGACTTCCTGGGGAGACAGAACACAGGCTGCCTACTCACTCCAGAAAGGGAGTCCATGGCAGACCAAAGTAATGATATGTACACCAGATTCAGTTATTTGTATTGTGGTTATTAATGGAAGAATGGATAAGGGCATCTTATAAGGAGCAGGGATTTAACACAAAAGCAGCCCCATCACCGGGACACTCACCCCAGCGTGGACAGCTGCGGCCCTGGGCACTCTAACCCGCTGCAGGCAGTTCCAACTCCTGACATCTGTAGTCAGCTGGCCAGAGACTCTCCCCACAACTGTTTACACACCGATGGTAGGGCCCTCGGGAATCCTCCAATCCTCTGTTCTTCTCTGCTCTGTGGCTTTTCACTGGTCGCCTCTCCTCTCTCTCTGGAGCGGATGTTCCAATTTAGAGGGGATGTTGCAAATTAGAGGAATTCATGCCTTAGCATTCATGCATGTGCGTGCCCTGGCACACTAATGCACATATGTACACACACAGCAAATAAATTGTAATTATAAAATGTGTAAAACGACTGCAGAAACAATGTGCTTATAATCTCAAAGTTGTGGGGGGCAGAGACAGATCTCCAGAGCTTGCTGGCCAACCAGCATTGTTTACTTGATGAGCTCCAGACCAATGAGAGAGCCTACCTCAGAAAAACAAGGAGCTAGCATCTGAGAAACAATACTCAGGGTTGTCCTCAGGCTGCACCCTCCCACACATACACATCACACAAAGTCGCTCTCCAGTCAAGGTGGCACATGCTTATCTAATCCCACCATTACATGGAGGTAGAAGACATAGAAGCTCAAATGGCAGCTTCAGCTACAGAGAAAATTTAAGTCCCACCTGGGCTACTTGAGACCCTGTCTCAGAAAAACGAAATCCAAATAAAAACCAACAGTCCTGTGCCTGTGATGTGTTTGTATGATGCCTTAGTGTCTCTCTCCTCATACCCACACAAGGGAAGCGAATACCCAGACCTGAAAGGCAGAGACCTCCCTCACACCTCTCTACTGCCACACATCTGTTCCCCTCAAAGGCAGATCCTGAAACCATCAAAAAAAAAATTAAATTTAGGGGATGACAATCTGCATTCAAGTCCCTGGAACCCACGTGCTGGAAAGTGAAACCCAGCTCCTGACAGTTGTCTTCTGAACCTTGTGTGTGCACACATGCACACTGACTAAAAACACAGAGCCAGGTGGGATGGTACACACCACTAATCCCAGCACTAAGGATTCAGAGGCAGGCGAATCTCAGAATTCTAGACTGTTCCAGTCTGTATCCTGAGTTCCCAAACAGAGCTACACAGAGTTTTTTTGGTGAGGAAGGGGTGTCTCAAAACAGGGTTTCTTTGTGTAGATAAGACTGGCCTGCCTCTGCCTCCTGAGTGCTGGGATTAAAGGTGTGTGCCATCACCACTTGACTTACACAGAGTCTTAAAAAAATAAGTAAATAAATTTAAGTGTGAAAAAAAATTTAATTGAGTCAGTAAAATGGGTCAGGTAGAGGCACCTGCCAAGTCTAATGACCCAAATTTGATTCTCTGACCCCACATGGTGCAAGGTGCCAATTGTTTTCTGACCTCTACGTGCATATGCCCCCCCATACACACAAAGAAACGTGACTAAATTTTTTTAATAGTATTCATTTCTCAGGGAAAAAAAGATTCTGTGCTAGAAATGGCATAAACGGGAAACAGAGGTGTGAGGTGACATGGAAGGGCTGGAGAACTCCGCAGTTCTGGAGTTTGGGGAGGCAGGCGCTCGGGCGGGCGTCATGCTCGGGCTCTTGTTCCGGGGCTAGTGAAGTAGCTTCTTATGTGGGTGGTGGGAACATAGTAGAAGCTTTTTTTGTTTTGTTTTGTGTGTTTTTAAGACTGGGTTTCCCTGTATAGCCTAGTTTTCCTGGAACTGACTTTGTAGACCCAGTTGTCCTTAAAATTACAGAGAGCCACCTGCCTCTACCTTCTGAGTGCTGGGATTAAAGCTGTACCACCCAAGGCTGCAAGCTTTTTGTTTGTTTTGTTTTGAATGGGGGTTGAAAGATGATCTTGGCCGTGTGGCTCTGCTTCATCTGGTGATTGTTCAAACTCAACACGGTCCTGTCTCAGCTTTTGGAGTGCTGCTGTGGTCACAGTTTGAACTGCTTCCTATGGATTTAGAAACTCAAATTCAGGACTGATGTGATTGTTTTAAAACGGTAATTGGAGTTGGCACACACACTGGATGGAGAAGACAATGCTAACTAGCATATGATTGCTGCCTTCAGGCTAGGCCAGCCTGCTCGGCATGCTTCCACTGGGAAGCTGGTAGAGGGTAGAAGTAGCAGATGAAGGAGTTTAACAGTATCCGGAGAATGGATAATCTGTCTCAATTGCAGTCCTCAGTCAAGGGGATAATTACATATGAAAAATAGCTGCTTGTGCATCTTCAGTTTTTATTTGTTTTCATGACAGATGGCTTTACAAAGACTGGTTATTCTCCTCAACTTTCAGTTATTGTCCAAAATCCTTTCATAACTGTACTTTTTAGTAGTTATCATGTTTGCGGAAAACTTCTGAGAGTAAGAATACAAGATAAGCATCTTTTCACCAAACTGAGCAGACATCCTCGGAAGCAAGGGTGTAGCGTATGGAACTAGACTTCAAAATCTGCTTGTTGTATGTTCTCTGAGGAGTTTCTTCAGTGGCAGAATGGAACAGGTTGTGGGATAAAACTCTAGAGAATATTGTTGTCTACAGGGATCTCCTACTAGCACCTTGTCTTGTAGATATCTGATCACAGAATATAGGTGCTGCAAAATGCCTTTTAGACTATCCAGACCAGTTTCTTCCCTTCTTTATTTTCTTTTTACATGTTTTTTTTTTTTTTTAAAAAAAATACAGAGAGGTTAAGTGGAGCATTTGAAGGCATTGTGAGTAGTGCACCCTTGCTTTCTCAAATAGAAGCAAGCCTGGGAAAGCCAGCTAGTGTGCTGCTTCAGTAGAGAAAAAGGTCGTAGCTCCCTGCCATCGTATGCAGGTCTAGTTCTGCCTGCTGGAGTACTGACAGGAGGGCCATTCAGCGACTGTGTGACTAGAGTTCTGACTTTGCGATATCCTGGTTTGTTTGGTAGGAAGCTATGCAGAATCAGGTGAGCGCCAACCCCGAGAGAGCCAACCCAGTGACCAACCCTGTGACTGTGGCTGCTCCATTCATCTTCACCTCTGGAGAGGTCGTTAACCTCGCTAGCTTTGTTTCTTCAGCCAACACCAAAGCACCCACAGGTAATACTCGGATAATAAGACATCTATTTTAAGCATAAAAATGAGCAGAATCCCATTTTCCTATGGATAGTCTGTAACCACTATTATAAAAATATTCCCTACATGATGCTAGGATTAAAGAGCTGAGGTAGAACACTTGCTGTATATACAAAGCCATGGACTAAAATCTCCAGTATCACAAAAAAGAAAAGGAAAAACATTTCTCAAATGCTTGTTTTTTCAGTGTAGACATTGAACTTAGGGCCTCACAGTCTGGATCTGTGTTCACAGCCCATTCTTTTTCTTTTTTCTGTTTGCTGTTTGTTTGGTTTATTTTATTGTCAAACAGACAAACAGGGGGCTGGAGAGAAGAGTCAGCAGTTAAGAGGGCTTACTCCTTTGGCAAAGACCTGGGTTATGTTCTCAGCACCCACATCAGAAGGCTCATAACTACCTGTTGTAACTTCAGTTCCAGGGGATCTAGTTCCCTCTGGCCTTTGGGGAACTTGCACACATGTGATGCACATAAGCTCATCCAGGTACAGAGGTATGTGCAGAAGTAATTTTTTTAAACCTAGCACATTCACAGTTTTTGATTGGTAATGACTTGATAGCCCTGTATGTCCCAGCCTCCATGAAGGACTACCTGACGGCAGGACCACTGCTGCATCGCAGAGTGCTGCTCAGCAAGCACACAGCCCTGGGTTCAGATCCAGTGTGACCCCAACACAAACAAAAATTATCTAAAATTCGCTTAATCATTGGCTTATTTGCAGAGGGTTTGTGAGTTCTTACATTAGCCTTGCTGTGACAGGCTAAAAGATAAGAAAAACAGGGATCCCACAGAACATTCAGGACTAACAGGCAGCTGAGTCTTACAATGTGTGATCATTAGCCCAGCTTTGTTTGTTTTTAGATAATGTGCACACCTTTAATCCCATTACTAGGGAACCAGAGGCAGGAGGCTCTCTGACTTCCAGGACAGCCAGAGCTACATAGAGAAACCCTATCTTAAAAAAAAGAAAAGAAACGAAGGAAGGAAAAAAGGTTTGAAGCTGTGAGGAATACAGTGCAAGCAGTCCACCTTTAAAAGCAAAATTGATCTCCCTACATGATGCTTGCAGTCCCAGCACTTAAAAGGCTAAGGCAAAAAGATAGGGACTACACCGTAAGATCCTAGCTCTCCCCTGCCCACACCCCGCACACATGCTTGCACACGCTCTCTCGCTCTCGCTCTCTCTCGCTCTCTCTCTCTCTCTCTCTCACACACACACACACACAAAGGAGGCCAGCATAGCCTAATCAGGGAGCCCTAGGTTCATGATTTCAAGAGAGACCGTGTTTCAGGAGAACAAAATGGCCACTTCCTGGGGAACAGCATCTGAGGCCGACCCCCCTGCCCTCTGCATGAACATACACTACATACAAAAAAGTATACCAACAGGCTGAAGCCTGCACTCTAGGTACTGCCCAGCCCACTGCCTTCTTGCAGTATGTTCAACAAATTATTCCTCAAAAAATGTAATTATACATAAAGCAATATGTGTGTGTGTACATCTGTGCATGTCAATTTTTAAGGCAGTCTTACTGTCTTGGGCTAGCCTGGAACTTTCCATCTTCCACCCTCTACCTTCTGAGTGTGTCCCTCCCTGCTAGGACTAGAAACCAGGGCTTCAGCAGCCTGGTGGTGGTGGTGCACACCTTTAATCCCAGCACTCAGGAAACAGAGGCAGGCGGATCTCTGTGAATTCCAGGACAGCCAGGGATAAACAAAGAAACCCTGGCTGGGGGTCAGGGGAGTATTGAAATACACAGGCGTGTTCCTGCTACCTTCTCATGTTTATCTCATGTGTGCTTAAGCTTGGCTGGAAATACAGTGCTGGCATTTCCAGTGTAGTCGGGCAGATGCACTGCAGAATACCCTTCTAATAACAAAAATAGTAAGTTTGTCCCAGCAGGTAAGAGCTTCTTCTGGGCCTGACAACCCAGGAACTCACATGGTGGATAGAAAACCAATTTTCACTTGTGTCTTTATGACCACAATATGTGCACCATACACACAAAGTTAAAAAAAAAATTCAAGTTACTTAGCCAGTGTTGGTAGCATGTGAAGAAAAGCTTTAGGAATTTATATAGCTGGGGCAGACAGTTGGAGGTAGAGCTTCTCAATCTCCTAAAAACTCCAGAAGCATCTGTCTGACTACACTTTCTTTTTCTTTCTTTTTTTTTGGGGGGGGGGGTTTGAGACAGGGTTTCTCTGTGGCTTTGGAGCCTGTCCTAGAACTAGCTCTTGTAGACCAGGCTGGCCTCGAACTCACAGAGATCCCCCTGCCTCTGCCTCCCGAGTGCTGGGATTAAAGGTGTGCGCCACCACTGCCAGCTTCTTTTTTTTTTTTTAAATGACTTTATTATATATATAACATTATGTCTGCGTGTATGCCACCTTTAATCCCAGCACTCGGGAGACAGAGTCTGCCAGGTCTCTTGGGTTTGAGGCCAGCCTGGTCTACAGAGTTCTAGTCCTTGGAGCTGTCCAAGAAAGTGAGTGGTGTGGCGGTGTGTCAGGAGAAACATATGTGGTGCTCATCCTGGTTTGGGGTGAATCACTTAAGTTCTCCAGGTCACTAGTTGCTCATCTGGCCTGGTTGCGTTAGATTTCCACGGTAACATTCAGACTTGGTGCTTTCTCTGGGTATGGATCATTGAAGTGTTCAGTGTTTCTGAATTAGGGGCTCATGGGTCTCAACTCCGGCTCCCCTTGCCTCTACCTCCCAAGGACCAGGAATATAGCTGCTTGCTACCATACCCAGTTTATCCTTCTTTTTTGTGAGGTGCGAACTGGTCATTTTCATTGACCTTCCTGTGGATGGGATGGCCATGCTCCACTGAGGCCAAGTTTCTCGTGACTTTCAGTCTGTGACTTCTGTAGAAGAAGAAGCTCAAGTGTGTCAGGGATTGCTTCCCCTGCCAGCGCTTGACCTATGGGTTATTGACCAACCAATGCCGACAGCACTCACAAGTGTAGACTCTCAGGAATGGACCTGGCGCACAGTGGGGAGTCTGTAGTGTGGCTCTTGTTTACGTGTCAGATGGGAAAGGCCACTTCCATGTGGCTTATCTGTTAGACTTTTACCCATTGATTGTTTACTATAATATTTTACTAGTTCACTGTTCAATGTCACCATATTCTTAAGTTATCTATACTAATTTACAGGGTTTTTTTTTTTTCCAAGTTTCATACATTTACCTTGACTTTCAAAATGATGCCTAAAAAAGGGATTCTAAGGTCTTGGGGAAACACAGCATGTCATACACTACAGGAGAGATTCAAGTACTCAGTAACCTGTTAAAACTGGTGATACTGTTTTATCAAACAAACAAACAAAAAGTGTAACACACACACACTCACAAAGGCTAGAATGTAACTCAGGTGTTTGCCTAGCTTTCACAAGTTACAAGGTCCTGGGTTTTTTGTTTGTTTTGTTTTTCTGAGACAGGGTTTCTTGTGTGAAGGCCCTGACCTGCCCTGGAATTCCCTCTGTGGACCAGGCTGACCTTGAACTCATAGAGACCCACCCACCTCTACCTCCAGAGTGCTGGGTTTAAGTCTGTGCCACCACCATCTGGTTCAAGATCCTGGCATGGTAGCTCACACTTGAAATCCCAGCACTTGTGAGATAGATGCAGGAAGATCAAGGATTCAAGATCATCCCCAACTCCACTGTGAATTTAAGGCCTGTAACATGAGGGGGCTTGCTTGTTTGTATTTTCTGTCCCACCCTGTTGCCACAGCTGATTAGCCCCAAAAGAAAATCACGGAGAGATGTCTATAAGTTATAAAGCTGATTGGCCCATTAGGTCAGGCTACTTATTAGCTTTTGTAGCTTATATTAACCCATTATTCTGATCTATGTTAGCCATGTGGCTCAGTACCTTTTTCAGTGGGGCAGATCACATCCTGCTGCTTCGGTGGTCTGGGTAGGAGTGGGAGAAATCAATTTTCTCCTTCCCAGAATTCTCCTGTTCTCATTGCATCATTTCTACTTCCTGTCTGATTTTCCCACCTATATTTCCTGCCTGGCCAATCAGCATTTATTTAAAACATGATTGACAGAATACAGACAGTTCTCCCGCACCACTTCCCCCTCTTTCTTTCTTTCTTTCTTCCTTTCTTCCTTCCTTCCTTCCTTCCTTCCTTCCTTCCTTTCTTTCTTTCTTTCTTTCTTTTTTTAACCTCGGAGAACTTTAACCTCGGAGAACTTTAACCTTTAGCCTGTATATATTTTTAACACATCGTAAACCATTTAGAGGTTTTCTTTTTCTTTGAATCTCTCTTTATTGCTTATCTCTCTTTTTTTGACCACATGGGTCTTTAATTTGCTAAGGAATATGGAGAAGTTTTTTGCCACAATTCTATAACGTTTTAAGGTCCTTGCCAGGAAGCAAGCTGCAACAGTGTATCCATAGCTCCATAGTCCGGACCACCTGCTTGAAAGAGTCAGAGTTTTTCCTGGTAGGATGGCCCAGAAAGCTGGCATTTTAAAACAGTAGCTTTTTTACTGCTATGGCTGAAAACTGAAATGCTTTGGGGCTAAACAGCCGTGGGAATCGGGCAAGACAGAAAACCACAAACAAGCCAGCCCCTCCATGTTACAAAGGCCAACCTGGACTACATGAGACCCTGTTCCCTATCCCATTACCCCTAAAAAGTATATATATAGCTTGGGTTTTGTAACATAAGGGGGCCGGCTTGTTTGGATTTCTGTCCTGCCCGGTATCCCACAACCGGCAAATCCCAAAGAGAAATCACACACAGGACTCCATGAGGTTATAAACTGATTGGCCCATTAGGTCAGGCTTCTTGTTAGTCCTTATAACTTACGTTACCCCATTATCCTTATCTATGTTAGCACATGGCTCCGTACCTTTCTCAGCAGGGCAGGTTACATGCTGCCTCTTTAGTGGTCTGCACAGGAGTGGCTGAGGGACCTTCCTCCTCCGTAGCCTTATTCTATTCTCATTGCCCCGCCTCTGCTTCCTGTCTGGTTGACCCGCCTATACTTCCTGCCTGGCCAATCAGCGTTTTATTAAAATACATGATTGACAGAATACAGATTCTCCCGCACCAGGGTTTCTTTGACATGGGGTCTCATGTAGCCCATGCTGGCCTCAGACTCTGTATGTAGCTTGGAACTTGAGATCCTCCTGCCTTTGTCTCCCAGATAGGGTTTATCATGCCCCAACATACCTGGAAAATTTAAGTGCATTCGAACTAGCATTTCAAAATGTTACCGAATAAATATTCGTAGCGCCGAATTCTTTTTGTTATTTGAGAATTGGATCTTTGTTTGTTTTTGTTTTTATTTTTCTGTTTCTTGAGAAGGAATCTCACTATGTAGCCCAGGCTGGCCTGGAAGCCAAGGCAGTTCTCCTACCTCAGGATCCTCAGTGCTGTGATTGCAGTGTACGCTGCCAACTGCCCCGAGGACCTCTTTATTGAACACTGCTAACATCTCAGTGAGGACATTTTTAGAAAATACTGTTCTAGCAGAGCCCCTGTGTTCTTCTCTCCTGACTTGTTATACATTAAAGCTTTTCTGGAAGATTATTGGTTATCCTGTCTTCCTGGACTTTGAAGGCTGAGACTGGCTGAGTTGTCTGGGTATAGAAGACCCTACATCAAAAAAAAAAAAAAATCATTTATTTCTCAAAAAATTTATTTCTCAAAAATATTTTGAGTAGTTTTTCAAAGAGGATGATGAAACATGTATTCTTATTTTATATATATAAATGACATTTTAAATTCACTTTTGTTATCCCTAGCTAATTTAGAGGAAATCGAAGAAGGAAACTCACTTGACTCATCAATCCAGCAAGTGGTGGGGAGTGGCGGCCAGAGGGTCATCACCATAGTGACTGATGGAGTCCCTCTGAGTAATATCCAAACCTCACTCCCTACTGGAGGCATTGGCCAGCCCTTTATTGTAACTATGCAAGATGGACAACAAGGTAAGTTATATCTAGTAGACATTTACTTATTTAAAGATATTTTATTTATTTATTGGGGGGGGCGGTTGGAGACAGGATTTCTCTATGTAGTTCTATCTGTCTTGGAACTCACACTGTAGACCAGGCTGGCCTCAGACTCACCGAAATCTACCTGCCTCTGCCTCCCGAGTGCTGGGATTAAAGGTGTGTGCTACCACCTTGAGCTGCACTCAAAGTCTTAATGTGTACCTCAGTCTGGCCTCAAACTCACTATGTATCCTGGGGGACACTAAACTCAGAGCAGTCTTCCCACCTTAGTTTCCTGGGCACTGGAATTATAGGTGTGTGCCTCCACCCTCTACTTTATTTATTTGTTTAGAAACCGTATCTCTCATAGCCCAGCTGGCCTCAAAGTCACTTAATAGCCAAAGATGACCTTGAATTCCTGATGCTCTTGCTTCTGCTTCCCAATGGCATAAGCCATTGTGCCAGACTCAAAGTTTTGGCTTCTTTCTCTCTCCTCTCTCTCTCTTTTCCTTTCTTTTTTCTTTCTTTCTTTCTTTTCTTTCTTTTTCTCTCTCTTTCTTTTCTCTCTGTGTGTGTGTGTGTGTGTGTGTGTGTGTGTGTGAGAGAGAGAGAGAGAGAGAGAGAGAGAGAGAGAGAGAGATGTCTTGCTTGCTGTGTATCTTTGGCTAACCTGGTACTCACTATGTAGACCAGGGTGGCACAGATGAAGCTGCCCTTCTGCCTTAGCCTCTTGAATACTGACATCACAGGCCTGCACCACCATGTTTGGCTGAAGCCAAAGGTCTTTGTCTTAAGAACCTGATGCCTTCATGGTTTCTGAGCTGCAGTTCTTTCCTTCCTTGGCACTGCTTCTTTCCTGATTTCTTTCTTTGTGACTTTAAGTTACCTTTTGACTTCAAACTCTGTGTTTTGTTTTGTTTTGTTTTGTTTTTTTTAATATTTATTCATTTATTATGTATACAATATTCTGTCTGTGTGTATGTCTTCAGGCCAGAAGAGGGCACCAGACGTCATTACAGATGGTTGTGAGCTACCATGTGGTTGCTGGGAATTGAACTCAGGACCTTTGGAAGAGCAGGCAATGCTCTTAACCACTGAGCCATCTCTCCAGCCCCCAAACTCTGTGTTTTGTTGTTTGGGTTTTGTTTTTTGAGACAGGGCTACAGAGAGCTCTGCTGTTAACCAGGCTGAGTTCGAATTCAGAACTCTGCCTGCCTCTACCTCCTGAGCACGGGGACTAAGGACGTGCATCCCCCAACTAAAGAGTCTGAGCTATAAAGAGCTATCACAACAATGTATGGGGGTGGGGAGATGGTTCACTTTTTTCTAGTTAAGGCAAACAAGCCTTCTCTGTATGCTGTGTGCTCATTGTCTCCCATGGGTGTGCTTGGCTTGTAGTTCTAACTGTGCCTGCTGGTCAGGTTACAGAGGAGACAATAATTGAAGAGGAAGAAGAGGAAGAAGAGAAGTTGCCATTGGCAAAGAGACCAAGGATGGCAGAGATAACAAACAGTATTGAGGAAAGCAAGGTAATGTGATTCTTCTCATAAGAGAGAAGGAATGGAAGCCCTGGTGATTGGGGGTGAGGCCCTCTTCATCTTTCTGTCTACAATCTGGATACTATGTTATCAGGAATTCTCACTGTAGTGACGCTGTTTACTCTACAGGAAGGCAGCGAACGAGAGCTACTGCAGCAGCAGCTCCAGGAGGCCAATCGAAGAGCCCAGGAGTACAGACACCAGCTTCTCAAGAAAGAGCAGGAGGCAGAACAGTACCGCCTCAAGCTGGAGGCCATGGCGCGACAGCAGCCCAACGGAGTTGAGTTCACCGTGGTTGAGGAGGTAGCTGAAGTGGATGCTGTAGTGGTGACAGAAGGGGCAGTAGAAGAAAGAGCAGCAGAAGTGATGAAGTCAGGAAGGACCACAGAGCCTCACACGAGTGTTTCCATAGAAACCGCTTCATCTTAACACGCAAAGGCCACAACTTGCACTCATTCGTCTTATTTTTTTTTTCCGATATCGATAACGACCATCGATCGACTGATTGGTCGAGTATCGTCATTGATATCATTGATATCATCAACACCAGGCGGGATTCGAACCCACAACCCCTGGGACTCCTAGCTGCCTGAGCCACGGCTCCGGCTTCTTCGTCTTATTTTTAAGAAGAAAATACAGAGGGCAAGCATTGTGTACAAATTAAGACTGTCTTTAAGAAGGGAACAGTAGCAGGGCTCAGTGCCTGGGCCAGGAAAGCTTTATGTGCAGCTGGAGGCTCAGAGCCACATTAGGGGCATCTAAGGGACCAAAGGACCAGGACCAAATCTCTCAGCTCACGTCCTTGCTTTAAACAGAGTACTGAGCATTGAGGGTTGATTTTTTTTTTTATAAAAAAAAATTAACTTTATATCAAAAGATTTTAAGATAATACTTGTAATACATATATACCAAGAGCCTTTAATTCCTAAAATTCCTGAGATTTCCAAGTGATTTGAAGTTTGCCTTAGGTTTATGAACTGCTACGGTTGTAGGAAGACTCTTTGCGAGGATGAGGAAGATACCGTACATTCCTTCCTTTCTCTTTCCATTTTTTTTTGGGGGGGGAGTTCAAGATAGGGTTTCTCTCTGTAGTCCTGGATGTCCTGGAACTCACTCTGTAGACCAGGCTGGCCTCAAAACACAGATCCGCCTGCCTCTGCTTCCCGAGTGCTGGGATTAAAGGCCACCACCGCCCGGCCAAAGCTACCATACATTTCTAAGAAAGCAAGCACACGAGCTGCTCCTAGTTAATCCACTGAAAAGGAATCTATGGGCTAGGAATGGTAGTACATACCTGTAATGCCAACGCTCAGGAAACCGAGACAGAGCCAGTGAGCGTGAGGTCAGCAGGAGCTAAAGGGACTCCTTCGGTGAAAGAGGGCCAGATGCCCTTTTCTGGCCTATGTGAACACCCTCACATATACATACAAATAAAAATTAAAAAGTTAAGTAAGTTCGTTAAACGCCAAGGTTCACCCTTCAGGATCATGAGACTACCACAAGATTGAAGCCAAATTGAGCTTCATAGTGAATTACAGTGCAGCCTGGGCTACAATGTGGGGCCTTAATGCAAGAATAGAAAATTAAATCGTGTAGTGGTGCACACCTCTTCCAGCACTCAGGTGATAGAGACAGGTGCATAACTGTGAATTTGAGACCTGCCTAGTCTACAAAGAGAGTTAATGTGATGGCCAGCACTACATACAGAGACCCTATCTCAAAAAAAAAAAAAAAAAAAAAGCTGACTTGTGATTGCCAATAAATTGTATGTTCATAGCTTAGATATCAGTTAAAAAAAACAAAAACCAAAATTAAACCAGGCATAGTGTCGCATGCTTGTAATCCCAGCACTTATGAGACTGAGACAGGAGGATCACTGCAAGTTCAAGGTCAGCTTTGACTATTGTAAGATTTTTCTTTAAAAAAGAAACAGAATGGCTAGACTTGGTGACTCTCATCCTTGCACTCGGGAAGCAGAGGCAGGCAGGTCTTTGGGGTTCTAACTAGCCTGGTCCACATAGTGAGTTCCCAGCCAGCCTGGGCTACATAGACCCTAACTAACAATAGCAAAAAATCTGAGGACATTGCATTGCTCAGTGGGATAACATGGTGCTTAGCATGCAAGGAAGTCCTAGGCTCCTCCTTTGGTACTGTATGTACACAACAAAAATGAGGATAAGGAAAGCAAAGAGAAAACCAGTTAACATCAAACTTTTAATGCCAGAAAGAAAATTTACTTATGTGAGGTGGAGTGTGTGTGTAAAGCCTGCGTCCCTCCTGAGACTGGGCGGTCTCAGAATGAGGCTCTGGTCCTGAGATGGAAACTGTGTAAGACTACAATCAGGAGGGTCATCAGAACATCGTTTCTAAACATCTGTTTATATAAATCAAGTTTGAACTTTTAAATTGTATAAATTGGGTTGAATGCTGTGTGTCACGTGGGACATTGGTGCTTTCCTGTAACGCTTATCATCCTATGGCCAGAGAAAGGGGTGTGGTAGAGACGAAGGCCAGCACTGCGCAGGCTTGCTTCTGTGGACTGCGAATGAGTATATTGCTGCTTTTGCTAATGTGGGCCAATAGAACTCTGTGCCTTAAGGTGACAAAGGGGACAGGGGTCACTGCCACAGAGCAGAGAGCCATACAGCCGAGCCCTTGCTGTCTTCCCCTCTCTCTTACTCTGCTCAGACACTTTTTGCAAAGATTTTCAGTGATGGGTTGTTGAGGTGGGATTGGGGCAGGTCTCTGTTATTAACATGAAGTGGTGTTTGTTTGTATAGCTGGGCGCCGTGCTCTTGCCTGTAATCTCAGCATTCAGGAGGCTACAGCAAGAGAGTTGACATGAGTTTGAGGCCAGCCTGAACTACAGTGTAAGAACCTGTCTCAAAAACACGGCAGCTGAGCGTTGAGGCTCATGCTGATAATCCCAGCTCCGAAGGCTGCTGCAGGAGGTTGCCTGGACTCTCAGCATAGTGAGCTCTCTAAGACAGCATGGAGCCACAGAGACACCTGTTATTCCCCCCTCCCCCCCAGACAGGGTTCCTCTGTGTAAACCTGGCTGTCCTGGAACTTACTCTGTAGACCAGGCTGGCCTCAAACTCACAGAGATCTGACTGCGTCTGCCTCTCCAGTGCTGGGATCAGAGGTGTGCACCCTAGCTGAGACACCAGTCTTAAAGAGAAAAGAAAGGGCTGAGACTATAGTTCAGAAAGAACCCTTGCTTGTCATTTTATGAGGTCCTAAGTTCAATCCCTAGGACAGCAAAAAACAATATTTTTAAAAGTTTAAACAGGATGTGATAGTACATGTTGATAATCTCAGAACTGGTAGAGGGAGGCAAGAGATCAGAGGTTGAGGACCATCCTTGATTATTTAACACGTTTGAGGTTAACTTACCCCCCACCCCGTCTCCCCTAAGGGGGAAAGTTACCTGATAGCAGAGGGAAAGGCCACGTAGACTTTTTATTGGAAATTAAAAGAAGCCAGAGTGCACACCTGAATGACTGTTGAGAATACAGTTTCCTAATTAGTGATCATGAAGAAAATGGGTATTTTTAGCCTGGAAAAAGCTTGACAGTTAACATGGTTCTGTTTACCTTGATTAGTGTAATAATTTGTGTGGTGTTCCAGAGGTGTAGATTCATTTTTGGCTCAAAATAGATTGAAAACAGAATTCTCTAACTCAAAATTAACAAACAGAATTGATTGTTAGAGGTTTATAGGCAAAAATAGCTGTTTTCAAATGACTCTTGGCTGCTGGCACCCTGACTAGGTCTGCTCTGTGTGTCTGAGCATCAGAGATTGTTCTAGTGCCTCGAGAGTGTCTGGAAGCATGGTGGAGGAGTCTGTGTGTGGCTAAGGATGGAGCTGTGTCTGCTCCTGCTGTCGCGCTCCTCTGAGATACCTGGGGAATGGGATGCTAGCAGTAAGCTGTTGTGGGTGGCATTTCAGAACCATGGCTAACTAGTTTCCATGAGGGAGGGAGTTTCCATTTAGATGACTTTTGTTTACATTCTTGGAGCATATGTTGACTTTAACTCCCTCCCACCTTTTAAGGGGATGGAGAGTAACTGCAGACTGTCCACGCCTAACCACCTCATTACCTTGGTCGTTACTTTGAGGATGGATCTGCCCTTCTAGTCCTCCCCTCTGAGCAGAGCTTCTACTTTAGGGGAGCCTGCTTCATTGTTCCAAGTTAATTTTGAACATGAGGTCTCCGTTGTTCATCTCAAGAAGGAACTAGGTTTTGCTTTTCAGTTAAACTGTCATGAAGATGAAGGGGTGTGGGAGAAGACTCTTTCAGTTAGTTAAAAATTTAGGTATTGGATAGCCAAGCATGGGACACATGTGAAATCCCAGCCCTGAGAGGCTGAAGCAAGAGGCTCAGGAGTTAGAGGCTACACTGAGCTACATGACGGCACTGTCTCAAAGGAGCACAATAGTAATGGAAGAGGACACCCAAGGTTCTCATCTCCCTTCCACACACAGGCATATACCCCACACGGATGCACAAGGAATTGCGGAGGAGAAATGAAAATATAAGACTATTTCCTGACTTCATGTAGCCTTCTAGCTCAGCCTTTGTAAGTTTGTTGCTTTTTAAAGACAGGGCCTCACTCTGTAGGTTGACTTCAAACTCAGGGCAATCCTCCTGCCTCAGCCTTTTGAGTGCTGGGACTATAAGTGTGAGCTCCACGTTTGGACTGGATCTTCGGGGTGAAGAGGTCCAGCTGATTGCGAAGGCTGGGTATTTGAAAATCAGCAGATGAGCTGTCCAGGGCTGCAGCTCAGTGGAATGCCAGCCTAGGGACTCGGCTCCAGGGCAGCTGCTGTGTGAGTGCTGTGCTGTGCTAATTCAGGGATGTAACCCCACATTTGCATCTGAGTTGTAAGTGTTCCCCCCTCCGAAAAAAAAAAAGAAAAAAAAAATGTTACAACTTCTGTTCTTCCTGCCTTCAGGGAATTTCATGACAAATGTACAAATGTGCCTTCCCTCCATATTCTGCTTCTGTGGGGGTTTATCATTGTAATGCCAAAGCAGAGCCCTCATGCTGGTATAGGAGAGAGTGGCCTGAGGGGGTTTGCTCTGAACTCTGTGCCTTAAAAGATACTCTGTCAGATGTATATGTATTTTTGTATTTTTCCAGATAGAATCTCACTGTGTAGCTCTGACTGACAAGAAACTTGCTATATAGTCCAGGCTAGCCTCAAATTTAGAGACCCACCTGTCTCTGCCTCCTGAGTGCTGGGATTAAAGGTACCTGGCAACAGATAGTTTTTATATCCCTTTTCTGGGTGCATGTGTATTAGTATAAATGTATGTAAATGCATAATGATCTTTCCCAGTTTTCTCTTTGCGGTTCAGCTCTAAATTTTCTGGGATAACCTGGAAGCTTATTAAATACAAAGATAGGGTTTGTTTAATCCCCTTAATCTACTAGGGAGCAGGGAATACGAAAACATTGAATAAGAGAAAATATGAGAGTTGAGGCCTAAGGCGCTGGTTCATGCTCTTGGGGAAGCCAGCGGGTAAATGCAAAGACTCCATGGTCTGTGCATAGCGACCAAAGTGAGCTGCCCTCCGTGACCGGTTGTCTTTTCCTCCTGTTGAAGCTGCCTTGACACTTAGAAAAACCCTCAGAGATGGATGTAGTGAAGCATATATTTAGTCCCAGGACTCAGGAAGCGGAGGCAGGTGGATCTCTGTAAGTTCCAGGCCAGCTTGGGCTACACAGTTAGACCCTGTCTCAAAGGAAAAGCCTCTAGGCTTCTGGACAGGGAAGAGCCCAGGTGAGGGGCTGTGGAACTGAGCTCTGAACCTCTGCTTCCCCAGCTCAGGACCTCACCATGCGAGAAATAACTCATTCTGAGAAAGCTTGTGTGGCTGTCCCCTACGTCAGCCACCTCCAGGGCTGGAAGGGCTGAGGCACATGGTGAACTCCTGTCAGAGTCTGACAATGAGCAGGGGTCACTTTTGTCCCAGTTACTGGAGACCAGCTTTCTCTTCTCTCCTCATGCAGACAGATGTTTCTGTCAAGACCACCAGTATGCACTTTAACTTCTTACCTCCTTTTTGTGTTTTGTTTTGCTTCGAGACAGGGTCTCTCTCTCTCTCTCTCTCTCTCTCTCTCTCTCTCTCTCTCTCTCTCTCTAGCCAGGCTGATCTGGAACTCAATGTGCAACCTAGGCTAGCCTCAGACTCACGGCAGTCTGATGTCATAGTCTCTCATGCCCTGGGCTTACAGATGTGTCACCGTGACAGACTGGCTCTAACCCCGTTGGAGTCACGCTCTGTTTCCTTTACTAACAGGAAAGATGTGCGTTAGATTTAATAGCCTTGAGCCTCTGATGCTCTCCTTTTGAAGACTTTAACCTCTCTGGGGCTGGGGGAGGAAGATAGTCCTAAACTCTGCAGTAGTAAGTTGATTTGTTACAGTCATGAAATTGTGACCTCTGTGTCTTCCCTGTCCCCCTCCCCACTACTTCTGTCTCTTCCATTCCTCGGCTCTCATCTTAGGAAGGCTTTGCCAGGCCCTGGAATGTAATTAATTAGTTGATCACCTCTAATCTGAGGGGCTCCTCTTTTCTTTCCTCCTCCCCCACCACGTTTTGCTCTGAGGTGATTTGTTTCTGCGAATTAACTAGGTTATACTTTCTATCTGTGTCCCCACTTGGTTTCTGCTGTCTTGCGATGTCAACTGTTACAGTAGCAGCTCCACTCCCTGGCCTTGCCCAATGTATCCTCTGCCAAGGCCACTTAGAGGCGGATGCCCAGGAATCTTTACAGTGTCCTCTTGTTCTTCAAGTTGTCTGGCAGCTTTGTGTACAGAAAAATTGTAGAAAACTTAAATAAAAGTTTCTTTTTTATTTAGGATAAAATAGTTCCATTCTAATGAGCAAGCTTGTGTGTACATGTGTGTGAATGAGCATTTATGTACATATACCTATGCAGATCTATATTATATATACAGTTTTTTACTATCATTTAAATAAAGACATTTCTTAATAAAATGTTAGTGTTGTTGAAGTTTTCGGTAAAGAATGTTTCTGCTGTCTCTGTTACAGTGAACCAGTCAAACTAAAGTTAAGGTGTGTGCGCAGTCCCAGCGCCTAGATCTCACCTCAGTGTCTTTATTTTCTTTTATTTTGAGACAGGGTTCCTTTTTTTCCTTTTTTTTTTTCTTTTTTTTTTTTCCTTTTTGGTGTTTTGAGACAAGGTTTCTCTGTCCTGAAACTTGCTCTGTAGACCAGGCTGGCCATTGTAACATGAGGGCTGGGCTCATTGAGGTTTCTGTCTCACCCGGTCCCCCAGCCGTTTAGTTCCAGAGAAAATCACACAGAGAATCTACATTAGATATAAACTGATTGTCCCATTAGCTCAGTCTACTTGTTAGCTCTTGTAGCTTATATCAACCCATTGTTCTTATCCATGTTAGCCGCATGACTCAGTACCCTTCTCAGTGGGGCAGCTCACATTTTGCTTCTTTGGTGATCTGGACAGGACTCCGGGGAATGGGCTTCTTCCCAGAATTCCCCTGTTCTCATCGCTCCACCTCTACTTCCTGTCTGGTTGACCCACCTATACTTCCTGCCTGGCCAATCAGCATTTATTTAAAACATGATTGACAGAATACAGACAATTCTCCCACATCAATCCTCCCCCTTTTGTTTTAAACAAAGGAAAATATCCATAGTCCATTTTTTGGGAATGTGGGCGTAGTATTCCAGGCTACTCCAGCTGGTTGGGGACACTGATAATCTTATGGGGACCTAAAGAAAATTTTGAATTATGATCAAGTCCTTACTGGAGTATCCTGTGAGTCTTGATCATCTCAGGCAGCAGTCTTGAATCTGTTCTGGATGTAGAACTCAGACATCTGGGCCATCTGTTCCTACCAGAAATTTCTCAGATGGTCTTCCTTGATCAAACCTGAGTTTTCTTAACTCAGAATGAATCCACAGCTTCTCATTTCCTGTGGAAACAAAAGAAAAATCTCTTCTCCAAAGTGACATACCTTTTAGCTTCAGTTTTGAAGTCAAGGTATTTTCAAAATACCTATCTTGGATTAATTCTGCAGCATTTATAAGCAAATACCTTTTAACAGCTGTTGCTCCTTCCTCAGCATTCAAACAATTCAAAGAGAGCACAGTAATATACAGTATCCAGATTCTCTGTGTACTTTTCATCTTTATGTGTCTTTATTTTGACCTCTATTTCTTTTATTTTTACTTTTAACTTTTGGCTTTTTGAGACAGGTTCTCTGTGTATCTTTGTCCTGGAACTCCCTCTGTAGGCCAGGCTGTCCTTGAACTCACAGAGATCTTCCTTTCTCTGCCTCCCCAGTGCTAGGATTAAAGATGTGTGCTACCACACCTTGAACTCACAGAGATCTCTCTGCCTCTGGCTCTGCCTCCCAAACGATTAACAGAATACAGACAATTCTCCCACACCAGGCCATGAACTCAGAGATCCACCTGCCTCTGCCTCATGGGTGCTGGGATTAAAGATATGCACCACCACCCTGTCATTCCGTTTCTTTCTTTGGTGTGTAAGGAGTACCAGGCTGAAGGTGGCTGAGTAAGAAGGGTGGAGGATATGAACAAGACCAAACATAAACAGTGTTGCTGCCTCCTCAGGACCGTCAGCTGTGTCTTGTGAAAGACCATTCCAGCTGGGCTTACTGACAGCTTATGTCCCCTGCACAGGGTTCTCACCTGATGGCCACAGCTCCTTACCACCTGTTGTAGCTGCATGTAGCCTTAACTGCATGGCCGAGGGAGGGGCGTGCTGGATAAAGGCTTTCAGGTGCAGCCTGCTGTGGGAAGAGCATACCCTTTTAAGTAACCTCTCACCTGTGCTCTTTAAGGAAACCCACTGATTCTCAGAGTGAACTTTGGAGGAATCCTACCTCAGTTTGTTGGTTTGTCATGGGGACCTTAAGAAGAAGGGTAGACACCATTTATGTCTCCCTCTGGGAAGAAATTTCAGAAACATGCAGTGGAAGCTCACATTTGTAATCCCAGTACTCATACTGTGAGATAGGAAGTGGAGCCAGAAGAATCCCAGAAAGCTTGAGGGCCTCCTAATCTGGCCACTGCAAACAAGAAGCCCACAATTGAGCTGTGGTACACATGCACCCATACACACATGCAAGCATAAACATACAAAAGTTTTTTTAATTTTTATGTGCATTGGTATTTACCTGTATATGTTGTGTGAGGGTGTCAGATCCCCTGGAACTAAACTTACAGACAGCTGTGAGCTGTCATGTGGGTTCTGGGAATCACCTCTCCAGCCCCCATATATAGTGGTGTATTATTTGTGTTTTAATAAATAAAGCTTGCCTGAAGATCAGAGGGCAAAGCAGCCACACTGATCAGCCATACAGACCAGGCAGTCGTAGCACACATTTGTAATCCCAGCACTAGAGAGGAATCTAAGATGTAAGGAGAGAGCTCTCAGTCTTCAGTCTGAGGATTTGTGGAGAAAGGATCTCGCCCATTTCAGTCTGAGGTAGAGGTAAGAGCCAGTGGTTGGCTGCTTTGCTTTTCTGGTCTTCAGCTTGAACTCCAATATCTGTCTCTGGGTTTTTATTATTCGTGCTACATTTCATGCCCAAATTCATGGGAAAAAAACGGCATAGACCAGTTACACATAAATGAGGTCAAATCCCTACAGGCTAGGTTTTTCTTTCTTATCACCAAAAAGAATAAAGAGGACTATCCTAAGGTTTTCAAATAAACAACCTTAATATATCCAGTAACCTTTCAGGGATTGCCAAATGATAGAGTAGGAGCTGAATAGACTCCTGTACCGATTTTAGATTTAAGGAGATTCAAGGAAACAATAGTCTCTTAATGGCAAATGTTAAACTCATGGTCAGTTTGTAGTAGAATTACCCCTAAAGATTGGATAAAGTTGGTTAAAGCTCTTTTAGAGCTTGGTCTACAATTATAATGGAGTATCTCGTTCAGAGAAGAGGCTAAGACTTGAACAACAGAGTGAAGCTAGAGGTATGGAAATCTCCCAAGATCAAATTCTTGGAAAAGGACATTAAGCCACTGTAGAAAGGCAATCTCTATATGATGGTCACATCCTGGCTTTGTGCCGTGCAGCAGCTTTAAATGCTTGGGACAGAATTGAATAAGTAGAAAATAGAATTGAATCATTTACTAAAGTCAGACAGGACCCACATATTTCTTACAAAGGTTGACATCCATAGTAAATAGAACGATACGAAATTCAGGAGCTAGACAAATAATAATTGAATCTCTGGCTTTTGAAAATGCTAATTCTTAATGCAAAAGGATAATTAGGCCGTTAAAGGCAAGGTCAACACCTTTGGAGAAATGGATATGAGATACAGTTAATATTGAATCTCATGACTGTGATGATACTTGGATAAGAGAGGTGATTTCCAGAGGTTTGAAGAAAATCTTAAATGTCAAGTATTTTAATTGTGGCAAACAAATTCATCTAAAAAGGGACTGTAGACAGGGTGATCCAATGTTTTTTCTAAGAATAATCCATTAAGCATGCCCCTCCTGTCTGGATTATGCAGAAGGTGAGGCAAAGGCAGGCATTGGACTAATGAATGTAGGTCCACAAGAGATATTCAAGATAACCCTTTGCATTGGGAAACTCGTTGAGGGGCCTTTCGCAGGCCCCTATGCCAAATCCAGTTCAGTAATTTACTGCCATGGTAGAGGAAACTCCTTCCCAGAGCAATTAAAGAACCTAGTGCATATTGTAAGAAACCATACTGCTCTGGATAGTAGAATAGGTATAGAAGAGAAAAAAATCAGGAGAAACAATAAAGCGAGTACACACATAAATGAACAAAGACCAAAATTAAAGATGAATAAATGATGGCATTGAAGGTCTGGTAGACACAGGTGCAGATGTATCAATAATTTCATCAGAATCTTGGCATCTGAATTGGCCTCTTCAGGACATAAGTGTTCAGTTTTTAGGGACTGGAACTTTATCTCAGGCAAAGAAGAACATGAGATGGGTCGAATGTAGGGCCAGGACAGAGACGAAAATTAAAACCATATGTGACTAACATAGCAATGAATTCGTGAGGTTGTGATTTGTTACAGCAATGGAATATTCAGATTAACACTCTCCCAATCTTAGAAACAAACCATAAATTAACTTATGTTTCTGGGGAAAATATTGCAATATATTATAAAGAACAGTCACCGACCATTCAGGTTGTACAGGGCACAACAGCTGCTGATCTTCCAAAGGCACCAACAACCCTACCTTTAAAATGGTTGACAGACAAACCTGTATGCATTGCACAATGGCCTTTAACAACAGAAACTAAGGTTTTAGAACAGTGGGTAAAGGAGCAACTAGATGCTCATCATATTGACAAAACAACCAGCCCTTAGAATTCTCCTGTATTTGTTGTTAAAATGAAATCTGGAAAATGGAGAATGGTAACAGATCTAAGAGCTGTTAATAAGGTGATTCAGTCAATGGCTATCTACTGTCTAGCATTCCTTTGCCTTCTCTATTGCCTAAGGATGGCCTCTTATAGTTATTGATTTAAAAGATTGTTTCTTCAATACACTTTTACAAGAAAAAGACAGAGAAAATTTTGCTTTCACAGTGCCTGCTTATAATAATTCTCAGCCTGCTAAGAAATATCAATGGAAGATTCTCCCACAGGGAATGATAAATAGCCTCACTCTGTGCCAGTATTTTGTACAGCAGCCATTGGAAATGATAAGTAAGCAATTTCCTGAATCTATAGTTTACCATTACATGGACGACATTTTACTATATGATTCAAATGAAGATACTTTAGAAAGAATGCTTGAAGAAGTAAAGAAAGTTTTGCCTCGCTGGGAATTACGAAGTACTCCTGAAAAAAATACAAAGAGAGATTCTATTAATTATTTTAATTTATAAAATAGGTTTATAAAAAATTAGATTCCGAAAGGTATAAATTAGGAGAGATTGATTGTAGACTCTTAATGACTTTCAAAGATTTCTAGGA